TCTCATCAAGATGATTCTTCCAGCTCTGTAGGATAAATACTGCTTATGAGGCTAGGTAAAAAGCAGAGTATGGGAGGAGATGATGCTAGGCTAACCAGAAGGTGCCATCCTGGGAAGAACACATGAAGACAGAGTTGTCCTTGGATGTAAAAAAGGAAGGCAGCAATTCTGTAGCTTCACTGTCATACTGCAGAAGTAGAGTTTAACTGCTGTGATTTTGATTTTTCACCTTGAATATAAAGTGCTTTTCCTTTTTTAACCTGGACAATAAGAATAAAAACTAAGTTATCCTGAACCGTGCTAGCTCAGTGCCATGTTGAGTGCCACTAGTTATTACCTGCTTTTCTAGTATGTAAGAATCTCAGCAGAAAGTGACCTTGCTGCCCAAGTCCTGACCTACTTGTTCCTGCATTCTTTTGAGCCCTTCTGTGCCTTTCTATTGCAAGCATGAAAGTACATTGTGTCAGGGGTCTGAGTTGAGCAGACTGCCTTTAGGTTTCTGTCTTGGAACAGATAATGAAGATACTTATTGTTAAGAGTTTAGCAACTGAGTGTTTATCTCTAGCAGTTGAATTGCTGTAGAAATGTATTATGCTTTGAGATGGTAGGTCTGGTAGGCAAGTAGCCAGTAATGCTTTGTTACTTGCTTTAGTTACGAACCCCTTGTGAATAGGGAAACACTCCAGGCATGCAGAGTGCCTCGGTTCGTCATGAAGTTCTAGATTGTCTGTGGCTCTAGGCCTTTGTCTTGGGAACCAAATTTGACTGCCTTAAAGAATCTGCCTTTCTTGCGATTAGATCGAGAGCCTTGTTCCAAAAATGATGTCTTAAGCCTGCGAATACAACCTCAAAGTCAGTAGTTGCTCTTTGAAGCCTTTGGTGCATGATTCTAGGCTGACACCAAAAATAGTGCTCATGTCTAAATTCTTCAGTGATAAGAGCTGAAACAGGTAATAACGGGTGGGGAAGACAATTATCACAGACAATATGAGTCTGTTACAGCCTTGTCCACTCAGTTTTGAAATCCACATGGTGTTCTTAACCTTTCTCTTGTTAATGTTAAATGCCAGAAGTCTAGACTAGACTTCTGGAAGTTTGCATGAGCTGCTGGCAGAGTCTCCATTAACTTAAGGTCTTTGCTTTGGATCCTCTAGGTATTATTTTGCAGGACAGCTCTGAAGATGTGCCTGACTCTTTTATAACCCTTTTGGAAAGAGCAAGGAATGCCTAGCACTTCCTTTGAGTAAACTAGTAAATAACTTTCCTTAAGTGACTCTGCCAAATGGAGTGCTAGGCAACAGTCTGAGCAGATTTTAGTGGGCTATTTGTGTAGGAGATAAAGAATTGTAGCTGCATCCTACCCGTCTTATTCCGGAGAGTAGCTGTCTAGTCACTCTAACATCCCACTGAGCACTGACAGACAAGCTGTTTCTACTGCCCTCTGACCCATGTGGATGTAAGGGTCCTTGGCAAAGAGCAAGTGGCATTCAGGAACCCTCACTTGTATTCAGAATTGCCTGACTGCCTCAGGAAAGTGATATATTATGTCCAGTAAGTAGCAATGCCAAGCCCAGAGTCACTCAACTCTGCTTTGCAAAGCCCTTTAGGGAGGAAGAGTTTGTTCTGTCAAACTGACTGCTCCTGATTTTAAGCAGGGAATTTCAGCTCTTTAGCACTGTCGGAAGCAGGCACCAGCTAAGGTCCACAAGACCCTAAGGAGGTTCATTAACGTGTGCAAATTGGATCTTAAAGCTTTGAGAATATTTAAGTCAAAAATGGTAGGAAGGTGAAGCTTAAAACACAATGAAGCTTGAGGTGTGGATCTAGGGCTGTTAGAATATGATTCTTGACATTATTCTTAATTTCAGGTTGTACCTGGGAATTTGGTGCCATGGTCAATTACATCAAGAAGACCTATCCTCAGACCCAGATGGTTGTAGTAGGCTTCAGCCTGGGTGGAAACATTGTGTGCAAGTACCTTGGAGAGTCCCAGGCCAACCAGGAGAGAGTCCTGTGCTGTGTCAGTGTGTGCCAAGGATACAGTGCACTGAGGTAAGCTTAGAGGTTCTTAGCTCTAGGATCACTTGTGGTGGAGGCAGAGGAGGGGGAAGGCTTTGGAGTATGTGCTGGGGGGAAAAGCTGTATGCCAGAGAAGGAAGAGTCAACTGCAGGATGCCACCTTGCAGCATGAGCAGCTAAAGCTTTGATTCAGCAGTGCAAAAGCTCTCTATCAATAAGAAATACTTCTGAGCAGGCAAATGCTGTCAGCTGCTTTTCTGCATGTGTGATTTGACATAAGTTTCTGCCAGGGTAGGATTTCTCTGGTGCTCTAAGAGGACTCATGCAGTCCTGGTGCAGCAAACCTGGCAGGTTTGGTAGCATGAAAAACCGCTGAGCTGATGCCCCTTTGGAAAAGCAATATCCTGCACTGTCTCACTGGTCTGAGAACTATCCCTAGGCTCATGCTGGGGCTTTTCTGCCTTCAGTGTGCAGTCTCATTTGGCAGCTCACAGCTGAGGAGACTGGAAAGAGATACAGAGCTCATGCTAACACTCAGTGCTCCTCTTTGATTGTTTCTGTAGTGCAAAGGCGGTGCTGTGGGCTCACAAGTGGATGGAGAGACTTTTGCAGTAGTGCTGTGGACCTGAAATTTGGAGGGTGGGGAGAAGATTTATAGCCCTAAAGCTGCATAAGCTGTTAATCTTGGAAACCAAGTCTAGAGCACTTCAGAAGAGCTTTCACAGCTCCACCTAGTGCTAATACCTCAATGTACTTGACAGGATCTGGCTATGGCACTGCTGCTTGAACTGGCTGCTTAACTGTGTAATAACTTTCCATGCATGCACAGTTTAATGAAGATTAAAACAGTAACCAAGCTAATGTTTCCAGCTTTTACTGCCCATATGGGCAACTACTGGAGTTCAGCTGACACAACAGCTTCACTGCATTTCCAAGCACTGGATATTTGTAAGCTGAAAGCCTATTGAGGCCAGAGCACTGGGCCAGGGCCTTACAGGAAGGTGAAGATGGTGAAACTGGCAGCTCTACAGGAGGTTAGCTGTGAAATTTTCCCTCAGCCTGGTGCTACTAGCTTTTCCTATTAATGTGCTCTGCCTATGCAGTGTTTAGAGATGACTGAAGCATGTATTAATATATAATAGCTAGAAAGCAACAAGTTTCTTCAGTCTAAAGAGTCCTCTTATGAGTAAGCTCTTACGGGTAAGACAGAAGCTTTTCTAGAAGCTTTAAGATGTGACTGGAACTTCATATGCAATTCAGTAATATTCCAAAGTGCCTGGTCCATTTTGACACTTCAGCTCAAATCTTACTGTTGCTAAAGTAACTTGGCTAATGCTAGATCTTTAAAGCACTGCTCAGTTTTTTTAATGAGGTGAACTCAGAACAGTCTATTTTCCTCCCCAAGTGATATGTTAAATTGTTCTGGGATTCTGACATGGAGTACAAGTCTCCTTTTGAAACCAGACCCCAAAACTGTTTTTGCAGCCATCAGACAGGGTTTACAAGAATTGTACTTGATCTTTGTCCATTTGATTTGTCTTCTGTAGTTATGCAATATTGTAGTTTTGGTTTTATGTGAGTCATGCTGCTCCCTGATTACTTTAATGTCACGATGTGCTGATAAATTGACAGCATAGGGACACCCTGGTTAGCAGTATGGGACTTGGATTTCTCTGCAGTGTTGCTGGGAGCTGCTTTTCTGGAGTTTGTTCAACATCAGAAGCCAGTGAACTCATTATTGAGCTCTTTACTCCATCTGCTGGGTAAACATCTACTAGCAGTCACAAAGCACCTCCTGTGCATTACTGTGCATTTGATGAGAAGGCGTTTCAGATCTCAGTCTCTTTACCTAATCTCAACTGCAGCTTCTCAGTGGTAATCAGCCAAATAGCTGACCTGTGTTTCTGGGGTGCAGGGGAGGGCTTTATGCCCTTCCTTATAGAAGGGGAGGTACAAAGCACCACTGTATAGAATGGATAAGCCTTATTCTTTCTAGACTGACTGATAAATTAGAATGTTTGTCCTCTTACTTCTGGGCTGCATGACTGTAGGCTACCCTAGTAGACATGACCATGTAGCTTAGAACTCAAATTTCTTTTTATGATAGCGCTTACAACTGTTCCACCAAATACTTTTAGGAACTAAAGGAAGAAAAGTGTTGATGGGCAAGATGAAGCACAGAATGAAATATGAAAACCCTTCCAGGGCATTAAGCCTGTGTCCCATATACAGATGTAAAGTGGCAGCAATACAAGAATCTGCTAGCAGCCTCTTGGTTTAATCGGTTAACATGCAGTTTGGGGAATTTAGTCCCTGAGGCTAAATGGGGGACAGGTCTCTGTTCCTTAATCTCTGCCTGCACAGGCTTGGTTCTGCTGCTTGGTTTTGTGGAATGCATCTTCACTGTAGCTGCAGGCTGTGGGGAAGCTTCCCAAGTTTGAAAACCTGTGCAGTCTGCTTTAAAATACAAGAAGCTGCATTTTTTTCCAGTATTCTGTAGTCTTGCTATTAGAAGCTCTGGTGGAGAAGTCTAACCTTAACTTCAATCATCTAGAAATTACTTAAGGTTTGCCAGGAAAGTGTTTTGTGGAGGGGGAAAAATGTGCATCTTCTCTCAGCTTCATTCCTTTTCCCCCACTAGAAAGGTAGTAGGTAGTCTGGTAAAATCTTAATTCTATGTTCTGGCATGGCCTACTACAAGAAACTATATTCAATGTTCTGCTAGGCAGCTTGCAGGTTGTGGGTTGGGAAGTCATGTTAAATCTACCATTTAAATATTAACTTGCACTGAGAAGTGAAGCTGGAGTGGTTCAGTAGCTGCAGTTCTGCTCCCAGCATTCTTGGGTTGTCTGGTAAATGATAGGATGTTTCCTCAGTAACAGCAAACCTTGTTGAGAGTAAAGCTATAACCTGGCCATGACCCTGTATAGCAAAGAAGTACTTGTATCTGGCAGAGCTCACAGAAGTCTGGATGACTTTAATTCTGTTTTAACAACTGATAAGCTGTGAAGTGCTATTCTGCTTCAAATCAGATACCACTTGCAGCTGCAGCTAGAACTTACTCTTAGCTCCTGCCAGTGAAGCTGACAGTCTGTAAACACTGAAAACATCTGCACCAATTTTATTCTGTGAGGTTAACTCAAACAACTGACAACACTTCGTTCATCAACAGGCTTAAATTTTAGTCCTTTGCTTGATAGTCCAATTAGGAAAGCTAGATTCAATCTACACAGAGGATACTAAAATCCTCTTGTCAGTGTTGCAGATCTTGATTGATGACTCTTATCTGTTTTGATCAACAGAGCATGTAATTGTGTTGTGCAAAATGAGGCTGCAGATGTGTATTCTGCTATTACCACTCTTCATTAAAGTGGAGGCCACTTCCTGGAAGAGGTTAAGCTGCAGCAGGGAAAACCTGGAGATTGTTTATGTAGCTCTAGGCTGCCAAGATCTTATGATATTACTGTGATTCTTTTCAAGATCTTTAATTGCTTTAGTTGTTGTGCACTTTTTTAGGGCCCTGGAAACCTTCATGCAATGGGATCAATGTAGAAGATTTTATAACTTCCTCATGGCAGACAACATGAAAAAGATCATCCTTTCTCACAGGTACCGTAGCCTTTCTCACAGGTACCAGATGGATCTACTTGTACTGATTGTGGTGGTTGGCTTAGTTGCTGTTCTGAGTTTGTCATCTCTTAGCCCTTTAGAATCAATTTACAGAAAAGTTATGCACACATTCCTTGCTCAAAGGTCTTTAAATGAACTAATTAAGGGGAATTCATCCTGATTTCATTCATATGCATTACAATATACAAATAAGGCTTGGTGATCCTGTCAGAAGAAAGCAAGCTTTGGTGGTTTTTGTCTTCCAAGGAGACTTGCTTAATGAGTAAACAAAATGAGCACAGAAAAACATAATTAAACTTCAAAGTGGAGTATTCAGCATCTGTTTCACTTCTAGCCAAGGAATTCCTTATTCAAGGAGCCTCTTGTTCTGCTGCATACCTAATCATCAAGGTGAGGATCTGCTGCATGGGGCTGCTGCTTATCAAATAAGCAGTAAAACCTTAGATCTAGCTTCTAGCTTCTTATTCTAGAAAGAGCATTTAGCTAGCAGAGTATTCAGTGTTGCTCTTAGAGTGCAGCTATATTCTTAGTATCCCTGTGCTACTGTTGTGATCTGTGGCTCTTGTATACCCCAGGAGTGTGTTAACAGGTGGCTTGTTCAGTTTCCTCTATCAAAAATTCTCTAGCCCCTTCTTGGGCAATGAATATGTAAGTACCTCATCTATGCATGCTCAAAGATGCCAATCAAGAGAAGGAAAAACAGCTACTTATGACCCATTCTGATTAATGTCACTTGCAAACTCCCAGTTAATTCCTGACAGTCCTGTGCAATATGAAACATTTGCAGAAGGAGTTAGGGAGACTGTTTGTCATGTAGGGTGATCCGTATAACTTGGTCCAGATTGGAAAGTAGACAACCTGACCAAGCTTAACATGTGACAGTACATAATCCCCCTGCACTAGATGGTGCTTAGTCATAATGCAGAAAAATTCAGTGCTGGCTTAAAGGGCGAAACTGTTGAATGAGCTAAATACTCTCTTCTGTAATAAATCTTCTCTGCTTTAGGGCAGCTCCCCAAACCTAGTCTCCTTCCTGTTCTGCTCTGCAGCTGTTTCTACAAGGAGTAAAACCCTGCTTACTAGCTTGTGGCCTTTGTTCTACTTGTTAAGGGAGTGGTTTGTTCTGGTAAAAACACATCCTCTCCTGAGGGCGATAACTAATTATGACAAGTGTCCATAGTAAATAGCTTTCTGCTAAGGTAATGCCCCAAGTAACTTCTGAAGGATGAACTCATCTAATCTCTGTGCTGGGGAAACTTTAGTACCAGATGGTGAAGGAGGTGCTATGCCCAAGACTTCAGCCACCCACAAGTTTGGTCAGAAGCCAAAGGACCCTCCCCCTAGCACGAGGCCTGTGTTCCAAGCACCTTTTAGCACTGTCCCTTCTGGAAGAAGCTTTTAGAGGTCCCTAAGGCTGTTTTAGTACAATAGGAAAGCATATTTGCTCTAAAGCAGCTGTTAGGGCTTCTGTTACTTTCTGTTGCAAAGGCAGGTAGACAAATAAGATCTATTTGTTCCCAGGAAAGTTACATGGCTACAGAGCCCCCTGTTACCTTGTCTGATTTGGCAAACTCATTTTTCCCTTGAACTGATCATGACTTTGCCCTCTTTATGGTACCTGGATGTCTGTCTTCATATTACTTTCAGGCAAGTTCTTTTTGGAGATAACAATATGAAGAAGCCACAGAACCTGTCAGATGCAGATCTGAGCAAACTCTACACAGCAACATCCCTCATGCAGATTGATGATAGCGTCATGAGGTATGGAAGAAGACTCTGATTCTTTGTAGCTCTCTGAAGGTACCTTCCTTCTCAAGTGGTGTTCTTACGTGCCTGTAGCTGTCCTGATGGGAGTCTTCTGTGTGTTACTGAACAAAACTTGGCATTAAAAGCTTCTCTTTAGAGAGAAGGCTAGAGATCTAGGCTGTAGTGAATAACTGGAACCACAATGAATTCAGAATGGCCTGTACTTGTCCATTTTTTAAGATTCATAAACTATTGTGTTTTTACATCTGGAAAGGCTTTCAGGTGAAGATGACAAGATAACTTCCATATGTATGAATCACTAATAAGTGAGGAAGGATACTTTTTAAAGCCCCGAAGGCCACTATGCTCCAGCTGGCATGTTTAACTTGCTATCTACAGAACAAATACTACTATTGCAGTGCTTGAGTAAGCATGCAAAGCCTGAAGGTATGTGCTGCCAAAGATGGATTTTGCAGAGAAACCAGACAGAATATTTGGTCTAAAAATCCAGGCATCAGAACTGTTCTGTGCCTGTATCATTCATTTGGGAGTAAGAATTTTTTTGGAAATCAAATGGCTACAATGAACATAACTGCAGTGTCTCCATTTCAGGAAGTTCCATGGCTACAGTTCCCTGAAGGAGTACTATGAAGAAGAAAGCTGCCTACCATACTTGCACAGAGTAAGCTCTTGCAGTTGAGATTATTGTGCTTTAATTTCCCTGCTGGAGGGGAAATGGCCAGTGGTTTCTGTACTGCTGATTCCTAAACACTTTCCAGTATTTTGGAGTACAATTTCAATTCTTACCTCTAATACTGACATTAAATGCTCTGAGCTTTTAGGAACTTAAAACCTCAATGGGTAGAAGCACCCAAGCAGTCTACATAAAGCCAGACATTCAGCTGAGCATATGTGTGTAAAGTGGGAAGCAAGTGGTACCATACAGCCACAGTTTCAAGGGGGAATGACTTTCTAGATATTTTGGGGAGATGCCTGTGATACTATGTGAAAGGTAAATAGCAGACTGAAGTGCTGCAAAGTTAAAGATGGAAGATTTATTCTCCCTCCATTTGCAGAACCAGAGGATAGGGAGATTCCAAGGGAGTTCTCTGATGTTTAAGTTTGAGCTTCAGTAACAGCTGGCAGTAGCTGTCTAGTATGCAAAATAATGCAGAGCAAAGACTGTAGGTATCTGAGTTTTGGAAGTAGGGATCTGAATCTACTGTTATATTCTATTTGTTTTCATATAGTTAAACTGAAAAACTGTTGCAGAGCAGCAGCTTCATTGGTGAAAAGCTACCAGTCTTAAGTATTGCCATTTTTCTAATGGTTCTCCAAGTGCAGAACAAACCTGAAATAAGAGACCTGAGTAAACTCAAGTTGAACAGTTTTTTTTGCAGTTAAAATGAAATTCAGATAGAATCCCTTACTATTTCTGCTGTGTTTCCTTATGCAGATCTATGTTCCTCTCCTGTTGGTTAATGCTGCTGATGACCCTCTGGTGCATGAGAGTCTTCTATCAATTCCAAGAGCTCTTTCAGGTAAGCTGAAGCAGTTCCAGCAGTATGTACTTGTGTACCTTCACCTTCCTTGTTACTTAAAGAGCCATGATTACAAAGCAGCTTGCCTTGCTTTCTTACATGTGTAATCCTGAAAAGATACACTAAGCTCTTCTAAATCACCAGTGACTGGAATCAGCAAGGCTAACTTTGAGCAGAAAGAGCTTTTGAGCATTCCTCCCAGGGACCTTCTGCTGTTTTGGGTTGATAACCAGAGGGCTGTATTCAGGCTACATTTAATAACAGAAAATGCTTCATCATGTCTGTCTACTCACTGGAAACTAATAGAAAGGTGGCTTGTTGGTGATAGTCTTGAGCAACTGTGGAGGAACCACCAACAAGGTGGAAGGTGCATGGTTAAGTTATTTCCCAGTAGACTCAGGCTGAAGAAAGCATTTTTTTCTCTTCTACTGATAGAACCAAGTGACTAATGTACTGCCAGAGCTTTGGTGCTGTTGAGCATTAAACTGACAGTCTCTGTTTCAATACACATGAGTTAGAGATGGAGCATTTTATGAATGTGACCTGTGACTTGTATTGCCATTGAGACTCAAGCAGTAGCCTTTGTTGGGCAGCCTTCTAAGATGGACTAAAATTGGTTCCTGTGGACTGACCTGTTCTGTGACTTCAAAATAGCCAGAGCCTTTGCCAGAGTTTCTGGTTGCTCCGCAAGATTTTCCTTGCTTCAGTTACTATGGCAAGGATAGAGGTGATTGTCACAACTGAAGATAGTTTAGTTCTCAGCTCTAAAATACTAACTTTTTTCATCTTTGTGGTTCTTGTTTTACAGAGAAACGGGAAAATGTCATGCATGTGCTGCCCCTTCATGGAGGTCACCTGGGCTTTTTTGAGGGGTCTGTACTCTTTCCAGAGCCTCTTACGTGGATGGATAAGCTTGTGGTGCAATATGCCAATGCCATCTGCCAGTGGGAGAAGACAAAGTCTCAGTGCTCAGACACAGAGCAGGCTGTATCTGGCCAGGAGTAACTGACCCAAAGACTCCCTGGATCACTTCAGTATATCTCCCCTTTGGGAACTCCTTGTTCCCTCACCTGCTGCTTCAGGTTTCCATTCTTCTTGATATCCTAGGGCTGGGGTTTGATCACAATGTTTCCTTCTGAAAAGTGGAGCTACAGCAGGAGTTAATATCTGGTCAGAGCACCCTTGCATATGTAGTTATTTGGCCTTGGAACTATTGGTCTGCTTGAACTGGGTTGCTGACTGTGGCCTGATACAGAGCTGTTAAGCTAAAGAACTTATTTTAAATGCACCAGGAGTTTCAAATATCAAATTCCTTCACCAGCTGATGAAACTTGATGTTTACAGCACTTGTTTAGGTGTAGAAGACAGGCAAGCTCAACCCTCTGACTCTGTTCTACTGCATCCCAGTGCTGGAAAAACCCTGTACCAAGCCACAGCCAATGGTTTGGTCTAAGTGGCCTGCAAGAACAGCTGCTTGACAACAAGTAGAGTTCCAGCCTTGCACCATCTAAAGGGTGCTTTACATCTCTTACTTGCTAGGAATGCACTTCTAAAAGTTAGTGGGTTTAAAGATACTTAGTTTTCCATGCTTCTGCTGTCTGTGGTTTGGGATGTCTTTATGCAGGGACTCCAGGTGGAGGAAGGCTGCAGGTTGGTAATACCAGTTGATACTTTTCTATGTAAATGTGTCCTCACACAAAGACCAGATCAGTCACCTTCTCTTTATACTTGTCTTTTAAATGTAGTTGTATCTTTCAGATTTGCCTTTTTTGTTTGACCCAGGGCTTTTTAAAGCTGTCTTCTGGCTTCCAAATGGAAATCCATTATGAATCTGCAGGATCTTTTTGTGGAGTCAAATTGAAATTAAGAGTAATTCATAGGGAATTGATGTACAATGTTAGGGGCTTGTAGGGGAGGAATTTTTTCTTTAGGCTTGCTTCCTTTCATGCTAGTATAGGCTGTATCAAACTTCTTCCCCTTTGCTTACAGGGCATTGAATGATTTTCAGACACATGATTTGCCTTCCAAGTGATGGAAACTGGATGGTTTTAGCCCTGTGCAATTGAATTAGTACCTTTATATGGCTAACTGCTTCCATATCTATGTAAATGCTGTAGGCACTAGGAGTTCTTCCTCCTTTGACTTTTTTCCACACTCATACATCTGCTTCTAGTTTTAATGTGCAAAGTGAAGTGTGAAACCACAGATGCAGGAAAGATGCCTACTCACGTGTGCTATTCCCTCAAGTGGCTGTTATGATCTGTGCCAAGACAGTTTCTTCAAGATTAGCCTCTCCTGGAAGGGAAGTTGTACCATGAGTTGTACCATCTAGAGACTGGAATCTTGTGATCAAAATCTTTGCTTTACTGTTCTATCAATGATGTAATCTTGTTGTTCCATTCCTGGATGTAGTCTCAGTGAATTTTCTTGTCTCTTGTTTTCTTTTTCCTGCCATACTTCCCACATCAGCAAGCACTTTATTGCTTTAGCCTTGTTTTTGCATTCTAGACCCTTTAGTTTATAGCTTAAGGGTAAAACAAACTGTAAGACTTCAGTCCAGTGACACAGAGGAACAAGCCTTCTGGACTGCCCAGTCCCTGAACTTTGGTAGATTGGAGCAGTGGGGTTTTTGTTTTATTAAAGCAATAACTAACTATTGTAGCAAAGGTGCACTATCATATCAGGAAATTCCTTTCAGTTTGCCTTTAAGCCAGCCACTTGGCCTGTTACGATGAACTGTGGTTATCTGCACATTCCCTTTGTTAGTAGATCCAGGTTTCCTTTCCTCTCAGAAGGCATCAATTAGCAAGGGTATTTTTAGCAATGAATTTGTTCTATTATCCTCTTATTCAAACTGCATCTGCATATCACCAAAATTGGTCATTTGAAAATTAGTTTTCTTAAATAGCTGTTTGTAGTATCCATTGGATGAGATTAATCTTTCCTTCAACAGAGATGGAGTGTAAGAAACACTTCTGCCCATCAAATAGATACAATATAAGTATTTAGGGATGTGGTTTTCATCTCCAGTGGGTCACAGCTTCAGAACTGCTTGAACTTTCATAGCAAATGCTATGACTCTAGGTAACACAAGCCACTGCTGCCTGTCTTGAAGGTACAAAGCTGCCCTTTCCATGGCAAGAGATTCTCTTTGGAATACTTCACATCCCTCTATGGTGAGTAACAACTTCAGGCAGCTCTAGAGGAAGAGATGCTAATAAGAGCCCAATGTATGGATACCTTATAGAAGAAAGGGCTGCCTGTAAAGCAAAGCTCTGTTCTGCAAGCCTCTTAAGAGCTTTTCTTTCTTGCTTTTTTTTAAAGGAGGTTAGTATTGACTGACTTGGTCTTGACTGCTCAGTACCTTCTGAGGTACAAGGGGGTTAGTTGCATTTCATCAGCTGTAACATTAGGTCTGCCTGACTTCATTAGCAGGTGACCAGTAAATGGCCTTGTTTGAGCAAGCTTCTCCAAGATGATATAGGAGCTAGGGAACAGACAAAGCAGCAGGAGCTCTATTTTTGACTAATCAAGTAGAGTCTACTTTACAATCAAAAAGCCTTTTTTCTGGGAGGAATACTCCCTGCCACACAACCCAGGCCTTCATATTTCAAGAGTGCCAATGCCATGGACTTTCTGAAACTCAGAGTAATATTAAACATGGGTTGTTTGTTTCACTGAGCAGTTTTTGCACTTAGCTGTAGATGTGAGTGCAACTTGAACTGCCTGTGTTTTGACCAATTCTAGCCTGTTCAGAAAATAGTTATGGCTTAAACATTGCCCATGTGTTTTGGGATCTAAAATGCATTTTAAGCTTTTTGTAGATGTGAACAGGAAAAAATGTCTACCCCTCACTCCCTTTTTGCCATTTTTTTAAAGCAAGACCGGCAGCAGCAACCTAAACTTGGGAAATAGGAGAGGAGAAAGCTAAGCTGCAGTGCATGCTATATACAGAATTTCCTTCTCCAAATATCTTTATTAATTTTGCTGCTGACTGACTGGCAACTGGTCCCTAATTCCTGTACTCAAATATGAATGGGACTTTGTCCAATTATGATCTGGAATACTCTTCCCAAATAAGGCAGTGCTAGTCTTCTGGTGTGGACAAATGCCCTCCATTTGGCCAGGGAACGCAGTCTCAAATGCAGTCTAAGCTTTTACTGCTTAGAGTTGAAGTATTCTGTGTGGTTAAGTCTTAATCTCTCTGCAAGACAAGTGAGCTTGTTAAAGTGGTCACTTGTAGACCCATTCAATACAGTCTGCTAATGCAGCTCGTCAAGATTCTGGCATGAAAAATCTGTCATAAGCTCTAAGTTTCAGAATGGGATTAGAAAAAGTATTAGTAGAGCTTTTTAGCGCTTAATCTCAATGGTATCCAACCCTCTCCCCATTGCTGGATGTAAGTAGCACTTGAGTGTAAGCCCCAAGGACAATCCCCATCAGATTTCAAGCTGCGTGGTGTTTAGGCTGGCCCAACCATCATCACTGGAGAAAGATGAAGGCTGTAGGTAACAGCTGGGGCTTCTTACTGAACATGAGGAACTGGCAGCTTCCATTACATCAGACTTGCCAGCACTTTTAATGGTCACTTTTTAAGCTTTTATGTTAAAGGGTTTTTTTCAGATGGATCTGGTACAGTTGCACTGTGAAGACATAATTGAACCTCCCTGCAGTTATCTTCTTGGCACTACTTCTGCAACTCCTGTTTGTGAAAATGAAGGTTACAAAGACTGGGCATTAAGCAAAGATGGTAGGAACTGGTATCTCAGTACTGAATTTAGCAAAGCTACTTGTGTCATCTCTCCTGAGTATCACAAGCTTCTAGCCCACAGCGCTTTGACAAGTGGTGCCTTGCCCTTTTTTCCTCTTCCCTTGACATCAGCGTATCTAAAGACTTCAGTAACAGCTCTGAGAGCTTTCAAGTTTTGCTTTTTAATAAATTTTTGGCACTGAGACATCTCTGGTGATATGTACTGTACAATACAATTGTACAAATGTTTGCTGACTTAAAGGACCTTAGTGGTCAGCCTATGACTAGCTAGTCTGTTGTAAGATTTAAATGAAGATATGTTAGTAGTGGACCACCTTTCATCTGTGTGCTCCTCAAATCTGCCTCTGGCAGTAAGGACTGAGTCATAGAAGGAATGTTTGTCTAGGTAACTTATCTTGAAATTCCAAGGTGTTTGTCTAACTCTCCAGCCACATCGAGCTGGAGGTGGATTCTCTATAAATAGCTATATCTGAAAGAGCAGAATGGCAGCTCAGGAGTTAATTGCCAAACAGTTTAGTCATTAGGGTTGCTTCCAAGTTTTTTTCTAGAAATATTATGCCTATCTAGGGTTTAGTGAAGTTCTTCACAGCCTTTTCAAGGAGACTAGAAAAGGCCCTGGCCTGCTGCTGCCTGTGTAAGTCATCTCTTGTAAAGAACACTCTGCTGCTTCTGGTTTGAGTCATACTTTGTTAGTCCTTGTTTCTTTGGCAGGTCTGCACATTGGGTAGTGTCCAGGGCACTTTGACTCAAAAGTGTCATCTTCAAGAGTACTAGTTCTAGGCAAAAGAAAAAAAATCATGTTAAGACTTTCAGGGTTTCTGTTGAACTTGTGATCCATCAAAGCAGCATAGACCTAAGGGCTGCTGTGCACATATGCCCCTGCTGTTGCTGTGTGTGCTGCTTGTGCTGTTGGCCTGGATTTTTCTCAGTTATTGGGAGAGTGTGTAAGTGCCACCAGTGCATCAAAGCGGTTGCCAGATATTTGGTTTGTGCTGGAAGAGCTTAGCCACTGCTTTTCAAACACCTGGATCTTTGATTTTGCTGGATAAGGCCAAACACTGCAGTCTAGGACAGCATTTACCAGGTTGAGTCTGTTGATATGGAACAGTCTTCTGAATTTATCTAATAATACTATCTAAGAACTCCAGTCCCATGTTCCCATAAAAGCCATGTCTGTCTCACTGGATGGTCTTGCCTAAGCTGGGTAACTTTAATGCCAGTAAGGAGCCTGATCCTGTGAGGTGGCTCTGCACATGCAACCTTTATTGCTGTTATATAAATGACAAGCTAATATTGCCTCTCTACATGCCAGTGCTTTGATTAAACACAAGTCCCTTCTTGGATCTCTGTAATGTGATAGCGCTGCTGGGATGCAGACCCTTCTGCTAGCTCCTGCACACTGGGGAGTCTTCAATAACTAATCCAACAACTTGTATTAGATATAACTAAACCCTGTACTTAGCCCAGCTGAATACCTCTCCACAGAACATGTGTTTTCTTCACAGTATTTGTTGGCTTGTCCATAACTTCAAGTGATAGATCACAGG